CCCCCCTGCTCTCCCTCCTCCAATCCGTTACCCAGGTCTGGACATGCTATGCCCTAAACATGCCTCACATGTTCTCCTACCAGCAGGGCACTGTCTTATTCAAGCCTTTGCCATTCCTAGGAGGAACCAACACCTCCTGCACTCCACCCTCCCTATTGTGGATTCTACCCATCCATCCTCAAAACACACGCACCTGCACATACACACACACACACACACACACACATATGCAGGCATGCACAAATAGCTTTTGTACCATGCCTGCTTGCTCACTGAGCCTGCTCCTCACAGAATAGCAGGGCAAGGCCATCTGTGCCTCAATGCCCACTTGTGAGTTCAGGCCCAGCAGCAGGAGCCGCTGCCCTGCGGCCCTGGAGAGACTGGCTCCCCTCCGGGCCATGTGGCGAGGAAAAGCTCCAATGCCACAAAAGCCACCTGAAGGCAGCGGCCGTCTTAGTCAGGGCCCCGCGAGGCCGGGGCTGCACTGACAGAGAACATGCTTATGAGGAGGCTCTCTGCTCAGCTGGGTTCTCGTACTTGAGACTCACACTCAACTCCCAATGTACTAAACACATATGCACACACATGTGTATGCAGACACACATACGTGTGAATGAACACACCCTTATATGCAACCATGGCCACCCAGAGGAACCTGGACAAACCAGCCCAACCTGAAGGGAGGATGTGACAGAGCAAGGCCCACTCGGACGGGGACTGCGCAGGCAGCATGGCCCACCAGCAGGGAGTTAGCCAGAGCACTCTCCAGGGCATCAGGGTCTGGATGCAGGGCTGCCCTGGGCAGCGATCTTAGCAAACCGAGTGCTGTCGGTGAGGACTGCATGGGGACCCAGCATCAGAAGGATGCCATTTGCCTCCAGCCCAGAGCCCACGGGCCATCTGCCTGCACAAATGCTGCCTGGTGTGGAGCTTTGAGTTCTGGCGATGCCTAGAACGCCCTGGAGGTGTGGGCATGTGGGAGTGTTTGCACCTAAGCTACCTGCAGAAGGCCAGAGGTTGGAGTGCTTCACCACAGTTTCCCAAGCACCCCACTGGTCTCTCCAATGGACCGCATGGTACGTGTCATCAGGAAGCCCGATCTTACTGGGCTTTGAGCCTATGATGTTTCCTGAGTAACTACTGACTCCTATTCCAGGTGCATTACAATACCCGAGCCACAGGCCCTAAACAGCAGAGAGATATCCACTCCCGCTGTGCAGCTGGGAAACTGAGCTGAGATGGTTGTCATAATAATAATTAGAACACCACCGTCTCCCTGCCCCTGCCGCCTCTGGCTTTGCTCCCCTCTGCAGGAAGCAGCACTGTGGGCACATAGGCTAAGGGAAGGGCACCGAGCTCTAGCCCTGCATCCCACCAGCCAGCTCGAGGCTGGCTGAGCACCCTGTCCCCATTCCCAGCCCAACTGCCCTGCCTTTAACCCCGTCTCTCAGACAGGCCAACTTTCACTTCCCTAACCATCAGGGGAGCTCAAAGCGCTGTCTTTCCTTTAATGAGGAAAAGACATGCACACAGACACACACACGCACACACGCACACATACACACACACACACACACACACACACACACAGGTCTTTGTAGGTGAACCCGGATTCAGAGCCTGGCTCTAGCCTTACTAAATGTGTGACTTTGGCCGTGTGATTAATCCTTTCTCAGCCTTGGTTTCTGCATTAGTAATAGTCTAGGGTTTGAGAAGAAGTTAAATAAAAATAAGTATTTGGTGCTCAGACCCCAGAGACATCCCACAATGTCTGTTGCTTTTCATCACCAGGACCACTTACGGAGTGTCTCCTGGTGCTGACAAATACTTCTGCAATGAGCTGCTGGTGGAATCAGTTGAGTAAGGTTCCAAGATGAGATCCCAAGTGAACCTGCATACGTCCAAGTGGCCAGGGCAGAGGCCTCCTTAAGAACCCCCTCTACTCCCAGATTAAACAGATTAGGGAATTCTCCCCAAAAAGAAGAAAAAGGGAAAGGCCTGGAATCTGGCCAAGGCTTGGCTCACTGAGTTCACTCTCATGTCTGCAGAAAGGCGGGGGGCCAGAGTGAGGATGGGCTGCATGGAGCCTGGAGAAAGAAAGTTCTGAGCAAGACTCACAGTCAAAAGCCACAAATTACACAAAGAAACAAGGGACCCTCAGTGACTGCCACAGAAACAACAGATTGTAGAATCCATCTCTCAAAAGACCCGGGGGGGAAAAAGAATTATGATTCATATGTTTGAAATAAAGGAGAGAAAAATATGGACAAGGAGAAAAGTTATAAAATAATCAATTTCATTAGAAAAAGAACAAAATAGGATCTAGAAATGTAAAGTATGATCACCGAAATTAAAAATTCAGAACCTCACTGGCTGGATTAAACATTATGTAATAGCCCACTACTAAGAGATTCAATGAGTTGGAAAAGAGATAAAGAAAAATTGTACAAAATGCAGTACACAGAGACAAACACACTGAAAATGTGAAAGAGAAATAGAAGATATAAGAAACTGGAAGCTAGAATAAAAATAAAGCAAATATATCGTTGAAGTTCTAAAAAAATATATAATATAAAAAAGATGGGGAAGAGGTAGTAAATTAAAGAGAATATCCAAAACTGTTGTAAGACACAGTTATCAAATTTAGGAATTCTGATAAATTTCAAGCAGAATAAATTTCAAAAATAATCCAAATAAAAACAGTAAAATTATAAAACAATAATCATAAAAAAATATTAAAAGCAGCCAGAGAAAAAAATGACAGATTACCTTCAAGGGAAGAGCAATAAAAAATGCAGCTGATTTTTCAAAGGCAACACTGGAAGGCTCCCATCCTGTGATGTGGGGAAATAACTGTCAACCAAGAGTGTATACCCAGAACAACTATCACTCAGGAATTATGGAAGAAAAAAAGACAAGTTTAGACAAAAACCAAGAGAGTTTACAAAAAATATTCTTTAACTTTGGAAACTTGCCAAATAAACAAGACTCAAGAATAAAACTATTAAATCCAGAAGGAAAATTAGGAAATACTTAGTACTAAATTATATTGAAAGTACAATATAAAACTTGTGTAATACTGCTGAAGTACTACCCAGTTTCCCCGAAAATAAGACAGTGTCTTATCTTAATTTTTGCTCCCAAAGATGCGCTAGGTCTTATTTTCAGGGGATGTCTTATTTTTCCATGAAGAAGAATATGGTACACATTTATTGTTAAATGAAAATAAAGGAAATTTATTACCTGTATACGGTACGGTAGTATGGTAGTTGTCAACACAACCAGACAAACTGTGAATCCTACAGTATCAAGAATTTACTCTTTTATTCAATGACAATCATGTCATCATCTTCTGGAACATCATCATAACAATCCAATTCCTGAATTTCCTGGTGAATTTCTTGTGACTCCATTTCTTTCAGAATCAGTGGACCAAATCTCTCATGTTTAGCCTAGGGGGGGGGGGGCTTATTTTCGGGGGGATGCCTTATATTTCACTCAGAAGGAAACCTGTAAGTAGGTCTTATTTTCAGAGGATGTCTTATTTTCGGGGAAACACGGTAGTTACCAGAAAATTTATATTTTAAAAAAGACTGAAAATTAATCTCTTAATTAGTTAAATTAAGAAAAGGAATACCAGAACAATAAACTCAAAGAAAGTAGAAGGAAGGAAAGAAGGCCCAAAAAAGACACAGAACATTTCTGTCTGAGTGACAGAAAATGCTGAAAGTTGGCTCATAGGACACACTAACCAATAAGCCTCTGCCAAGAACGTTAAGTGCCGGGGTGAGGGGAGATATTATCCATGCTGTGAGGAATAAAAAGTAAGAAGACATTATAAAAAGCCTCAGTCAATAAATTAAAACTTAGCTAAAGTGAGAAAATAGACTTGAAAGATAACTAAGAATGATACAAGAATAAAAAGAAATGTGTTCTGACAAGAATAAATCTTCTCACAAGAAAGCATGAGGCTCTGAGTTTCACGGCCAAGTTCCATGGCAGGAAGCAGAAGATGCTCACACAGGGAGCAGGCCCAGCCCACACTGTGATAGTCAAGGAGTGTGAAAAGCAAAATTTTCTCATAAACAAAAATCCTTTAAAAATCAACAAGGCAAATCCAACAGTAATTATATCATGAGCAATTTGGGCAGGAATGCAAGATTAGGAGATCAATTAATTGACCAGATTACCCAATCAAGCAAAAGCAATTACAGTCATTGGCGACTCAGCACCAACTGCAACATTAAAGCCCTGCACAGGGAGCTTCCTTTGGATGCAAATGCCCTGGGATGCAAGGGCCAGATGACAGACGTGGAGACAGGTTAGCTGATCACAGCGCGAACTTGTATTTGGTCACTGCTGCGTTGGAGGAATGAAGAAAGGCTCCAACTATGGTTTTGTCCTTTCCCACCCCGTCCGGCTCCCAGGCCTGGCAGGGCTTCTCTGCCCTCCCTAGCTCTGGTGGGATTCTGCGTTAGGAAGGAAAGTAAAATGTGGTTTGGGGCAGCCTGAGCTCACTGAGGAGATTAGCCTATCGATGTAAGAGGAGTGATTGTTCTTGCCAGGGGAAGTGGGGACGGCAAGCAAGATCAGGAAGAAGCCACGGTTGGAAGGACACTGTGCTTTGTGTCCTGGAAGTCAAAGGGCCTCGCCATCCCCTGGCAGTGCCCTCAGGGGCATGTAAGACAAGACAAAGCTGCTGGTACACAAGGGAGAGCGGGCAGAGATGCGAAGAGAAAATGAGCCAACCTCTCTATCTGCACCCAGTTTCCAACAGCACCCCACGACCCTGTGAGCACTCAGGGTGGTTTTCTATTTGCTCCCTTGGTAGGGGAGCATGGAGTCAGTTAACTTGGTTTAAAGAACAGGAAGTCATGTGACATTTCTGCACACCCAGCTGGGAGCCTAGGCTTTCCCCCACTCCGCCTTCAGGATGTCTGAGTAGGAAATGGGAGACAGATGCACTGATGGCGATCGCAAAGCAGGCAGCAAAGCTCTACCTCTCCTCCAGGTCCGGCCACTGCTCCAAGTTGCCAAGGGGGTCGCTGCCAGCATCTCCTGTCTGGGCGTCCACAGCTGCTTCCGGCCCAGCTGGCAGCGGTGACTTCAGGTCCCAGCGCTGGTGGAGGGTGCCACTGGCCATGCTATCCAGGAAGCTGAGGATCTGGAGACAGCTCTGTACCTTGGGTGGGAAGGAGCTGTCAGAGGAGAAGGCCACACTCAGCAAATCAGCAAATGGCCTGGCCTTGGTGGTGTCCCCAGAGTGCAGGGCGGCTCCTTCTTCCTCCGGGTCCCCGAAACAGCCCAGCAAGCAGAGGTCCTCGGCCAGCTTCTCGAAGAGCCCATTCCTCCGGAAGAAGTCCCCGTTGACAGGGTCCAGGTGCAGCGCCGCAGACAACACGCAGAGGGTGTGCAGGACCAGGCCCAGGGTCTGGCTGGGGGACACCGCCCCCCACATCTGCAGGGGCGGGTCCTGGAGAGAACCCTCCAGGTCAGAGAGCAGGGACAGCAGCCCATTGAACCCACTGGACACTCTGAAAGCAGCACGGCCTTTGGGCGTCTCCAGGATCCGGAGGAGAGACTGAAACAGCAACAACATACACGTGAGTCAAGCCCCAGAGACAGACCTTCCACACTGAGCTCCCGCACATCCTGCCAACGCACGGCTCTTCCCTCCGCAGCACAGGCACGGCCAGCTGCCTGGGGCAATTCTGAAGCATCGGGAGGTCAATGCTGTTCCTCCTAAGTTTAGTTTTGGTTGCCATGAGCCTTCTTTCAATGGCTGCCTTGAAAGAGTATGCTCATTTACGGGGTGGACTTACTGCCCCAAATCTCAGCACACATGCATCTTCCTCCAAAAAGCAAGCTTTCCCCGGCCCCAGCTCCTCCTTCTCCTAGCCCGTGCTCATACAGCCCCTCCAATGGCCCGATCAAACTCTCATCACACTGTAAAAAAGCTACGTGAAAACTGCCCCAGCCTCCTCGATGCGCAGCGGGCACTCCGGCTGCTCACTGCCGAGGAGCACAGCACACTCGCAGTCACTGAACAACAAAATGAACCGTCTCTTCTACTGCAAAGGTCACTGCTCCCAGTGAAATCTGTATAATGCACCTCCCTCTTCCTCTCTCTCTGTGCAAGCACGGGTACCACTGTTACATGTGGAATGATAGTAAGTGAATCTACCTAAAGTCTGGTGTGAGCTTAGGAGGGAATCAAGGCAGGGAAGAGGAACCTTTAATGGGTGGAAGCATGCCGAAGAGCCCATGCGGAAGTCTCGGCTGCCCTAACGTGCAAGTAGAATCTGCCTTCTCCAGATTGCTGAGGTTGCTACTGGACAGCCAAACTTTTCATTCCTTTTATTTTTTTTATTAAGATATTATATGTGTACATACCTTAACAATCTCCACCCCACCCCACCACCACTCCCAAACATGCCCTCCCTCCCCATAGTTTTTCCTCCATTGGTTATGCTTATATGTGTGCATACAAGTCCTTCGGTTGATCTCTTATCTCCCCCATATCTCCCTACCATCCCCACTGTAATTTGACAGTCTGTTTGTTTCTTTACTGTCTCTGTGTCTATCTTTTTGTTAATCAGTTTATAATGTTTCTTATTATCCATAATGAGTGAGATCATGTGGTGTTTTTCTTTCATTGACTGGCTTATTTTACTCAGCATAATGTTCTCCAATTCCATCCAGGTGGCTGCAAATTATAAGAATTCCTTCTTTTTTATGGCAGCATAGTATTCCATTGTGTAGATGTATCATGGTTTTTTGATCCAATCATCTGCTGACGGTCACCTAGGCTGTTTCCAAATCCTAGCTAGTGTAGATTGTGCTGCTATGAACATAGGGGTGCATATATCCTTTCTGATTGGTGTTTCTAGTTTCTTAGGATATATTCCTAGCAATGGAATTACTGGGTCAAATGGGAGTTCCATTTTCAGTTTTTTGAGGAAACTCCACACTGTTCTCCACAGTGGTTGCACCAGTCTGCATTCCCACCAGCAGTGCACGAGGGTTCCTTTTTCTCCGCATCCTCGCCAGCACTTGTCGTTTGCTGATTTGTTGATGATAGCCATCTTTTCATTCTTTTTAAAGCAAACATTTATTATGCACTTACAAAGTGTCACTCATCGAGCTCCATGCATGGTATACAGTGGGTATTTAATAAGTGCTTTGGAAGGACTGAATTTACAAAATTCCTATTCAGTGCTAAAGCTTCACACCTGAAAGTGAAGAATGTGTAGGATTTTAGATAAATAGTAAGAGCCTCTAGCTATTTACATTTAGTTAATTACTCTTCACAAAAGTCGCCTGGGACCCCCACCAGGCATCTTAGGCATGTTTCCCAGAAAGGAGCCAGCCATGACCGACGTAGTCAGTTCTGGAGAGAGATTTGAATTGCTTTGTTTTTTCGGGTGTTTAATTTTCTAGTGACACAGGGAAGACAATGGTCTGGGCAGCACAATTCAGTCAACTCTGGGATGCCTGAAACAGGTTTCAAGAAAAAGGGGGTGACATTATCTCTTAAATGCACAGTTTAGAGTGACAATCAATAGCAGAAAGCTGGGAGTTAATAGAGAAACTAGTAGGTCAGATTTTTTAAAAGGGGGGAATAAATTATCATATAGAGAATGTCAAATAGATACTTAGTAAAATTATAGGTAACCATGAACTATGAAGTCATGCAACTTGGGGGGAATAAAGGTAATTTTCAGCTCTATCCCTAAAATTCGGGCAACCCTAACCTAGCACCAATGTTTATCTGTGTGTCCCTAATACCAAATGCTGTTATCTAATATTATAGTCTCTACAAGAAACCTGAGCTGCTTCAGGGGAATTCAATCCCATGACTGGATTGGAGGACAGAATGGCCAGGATTAAATGAGTGCACACAGGCGAGGACTCTCAAAGATGACAAAACATGATGGCCAAGAAGCTGCTGAAAGGGTTCCCACTGCTCCACCAATGACATTTTGAGAAATTAAAAAACAAGACAAAAGATTATAGTAACAAGGAAAATCTAGGAAAATTATGTGCAAAATTGAAAAATAATAACATTGGATTGGGTGAAGTAGAAAAATCCATCCTAACCAATATGGGTCAACTTTTTTTTTTCTGGTTATAAAAAAAGACTTCTAGTGGTTAGAATCCAGTGATCACCAAACTCATTAGTCAACAGAGCCAAATATCAACAGTACAATGACTAAAATTTCTTTTGAGAGCCACATTTTTAAAAATTAAACTTCTAATGCCACTTCTTCAAAATAGACTCACCCAGGCCATGGTATTTTGTGAAAGAGCCACACTCAAGGGGCCAAAGAGAGCCACAGTTTGCTCACCACCAGGTTAGATCATGACTTTCCACCAGAGCTCGGGAAAACAATTGTGGAGAAACTGAATTATAGTTTTGTTCTTTGAAAGAAACTCAGCATCAGGATGATGAATCCCAGGGCTCATGGGAGATGAAATTGGAGTAGTGGAACAGACTGCCATAAAGATGGAAGCCAATGAGTACTAAGGACGAGGCAATAACCACTGCTTTCTTCTCCTGGGTGGGTATATGGCCTAACTATTTCTTTAGTGGTAATCAATCTGTTCAGATTTTCTATTTCTTCTTGGTTTGGTCTTGGAAGATTATGTTCTCAGGAACTTATCCATTTCTTCCAGATTTTCCAGTTTGTTGGCATGTATTGTTCATAGTATTTTCTTATAATCCTTTGTATTTATGTGGAGTAAGTTGTTACTCCTCTTTTATTTCTGATTTAATTTATTTGGGTTCTCTCTTATTTTTTCTTGATGAATCTGATTAAAGATTTATCAATTTTGTTTATCTTTTCAAATAACCAGATCTTGATTTCACTGATCTTTTTTTACTGTTTTTCTAGACTCTGTTTTATTTATTTCTTCTTAATTTTATTATTTCCTTCTTTCTACTCACATTGGGCTGTTTGTTTTTCTTTTTCTAGCTCCTTTAGGTATACGTTTATATTGTTTATTTGATATTATAAGTAATTATATGCCAACAAATTGGGCAATCTGAAAGAAATGAATACATTTCTAGAAACATATAATCTTCCAAGATAATCAAGAAAAAAGAGAAAATCTGAAAAAAAAAAAATAGGCTGATAACCACCAAAGGCATTGAAGCAGTGATCAGATTATCTTCCAACAAACAAAAGCCATGGTCAAAACAGTTTTACAAAGGAGTTCTACCAATCACTCAAAGAAGGACTAGAACCTATGCTCACTCTATCCAAAATAGTCAAGAGGAAGGCACACTTCCAAGCTCATTCTATGAACCCAGCATTACTCTAATCCCCAAACCAGATAAAGACACCACAAAAAAAAGAGAACTACAGGCCAACACCCTTGATAAACATTGATGCTTAAATCCTCAACAAAATTCCAGCAAATCAGATCCAGCATTACAGTAGAAAGATCATTCACCATGACCAAGTGGGATTTATTCCAGGATTGCAAGGATGGTACAATATCTGCAAATCAATAAATGTGATATATCACATAAAAAAACTGAGAGACAATAATACACATAATCATATAGATTGATGCAGAAAAAGTATTTGAGAAAATCCAACACCCTTTCTTGATAAAAACAAACAAACAAACAAACTCTCAGCAAAGTGGGAATAGAGGGATCATACCTCAATATAATAAAAGCCCTATATGACAAACCTACAGCCAACATCATATTCAATGGGCAAAACTAAACCCATTCCCCCTAAGAACAGGAACAAGACAAGGATGCCCACTTTCATCACTCCTGTTCATCATAGTACTAGAAGTACTAGCCATAGCAATCAGACAAGAAAAAGGAGTAAAAGGCATACAAATTGGAAAAGAAGATGTAAAACTGTCTTTATTTGTAAATGACATGTGACTATACATAGAAAACCCAAAGACTTCTTCAAAAAAATACTAGACCTAATAAATGAATTTGGCAATGTAGCAGGATACAAAATTAACTATGGCCTTTTTATACACCAATAATGAACTCACAGAAAGAGAAATGGGGGGGGGGGGGAACCATTTACCATTGCACTAAAAAAAATTAAGATACTTAGGAATAAATTTAACCAAGGATGTAAAAGACATATACTTGGAAAACTACAGGACATTAAAAAAAGAGATAGAGGAAGACATAAACAAATGGAAAAACATACCATGTTAATGGATTGATTAAACATTAAAATGTCCATACTACCCAAAACAATCAACAGATACAATCCCCATTATAATACCAATGGCATATTTCAAAGATATAGAATAAACTCTCCAAAAATTCATCTGGAATAATAAAAGACCCACAAATAGCCATAGCAATGCTGAGAAAGGAGATCAAAGTTGGAGCAATCACAATACCAGATATCAAGCTATATTACCAAGCCACAGTTCTCAAAGCTGCCTGGTACTGGCACAAGAACAGACATATAGACCAGTGGAACAGAACAGAGAACCCAGAAATCAATCCAAGCCATTATGCTCAATTAATATTTGACAAAGGAGGCAAAAGCATAGAATGGAGCCAAAACAGCCTCTTCAATAAATGGAAAA